AGCTGCAGATTTGGTTTCTCCTCAAGAAGGGCTCAGCTGCATAAGTAAGCACAGTACCGTCTGGATACCCCACAACAGAAAATAACGCCAGTAGACACAAGGAGAGGACGGAAGAATATGAACGAGAACTCGTGCGAACAGAAGCGAACGACAGACGTTTCTAATATTCCCTGCACACATTGCGCACGAAGTCTCTCCGATGTAACGCTCTGCCATCGAAACCGCCAGAAGACGAACGAAAGCGAACGGAAAATTCGTCTACGGGCGGGCGTTTGAAAACTTTAGTTTTCTTTCGCGTAGTTTATAACCACATTGCCGAAAGAAATGAAATGAAATTACGTCGGAGCTTCTAAGCAGTGGGAAGCGTGCATTTGAAATTAGCTAAAAACGTCAAAGATAAAAGAAACAGCAGATAGCAGAATAAATAAAAAATATTTTCTTACAGAACAAACATTACATAAGATCACTGGGGCACAATGTAAGTTTTAAAATTATTTTTGTGGGACGTAATAACAAGACCCGGTCTAGAAAACCGAAATTAACTGCCGTGGGGATCCGTTGCTGACGCGACACCCCTCTATCAGCTAAAGTTGGCACTAACTTCGCCGACAAGCGCCTGTGGCTCGGTCGTTATAGTTCGCTTGCGCACTACAGGCCACAGAGTTTCTTTTTGTAATAACAAGAAAATAATGATAAAACTTAGTCACATTAGACGGTGTTATTTTTGTCTTTGTAGAAAATAATAGTTACGAACCGGCTAAACTTGAGGTAACGTATACAACAAGTGGTTGGTTCGAGGGTTATTTAATGCCGTTCCATCAATTAACAATATATTTTTAGTAGGAAATTAGAAAAAAAAAACTGAGAGTGCTCCGATGCACCTTGCCCTCAAACATCCATAGTCAACGTTCATAATATAATGTAACAGAGCAATGTGGCACCAATACAAAACAAGAGAAAAGGTTAAACTCCTGTATATTCTAACCTTTATATTTGTTTTATTTGGATATAGGAAGACAAAATTTTCTGACCTGAATGGTTGTAGGCACTCACCGACTTTAATTTTCTCTTAATTTCTCTAATGCAGTCTTGTTATCACTCTCAATTGCTTGAACACTGTCACATTTTCTGCTTTCAGGGTATGAGACATGAGCATATCTGTAACTGTCTTTGTTTACTTCTAGACAAACCTTCTTACTGACGAGTAATATGGTCTCTCTGTTTTTCTTCAGAAAAGTCATAGAAGTTCTCAGGCGCAAGTAGAGAGACTTGGAAGGATTGGTATGTGGGTCACCGTGACAATTGCACTTACAAAATTAAGCTGCATAGATCAAAAAAAAAATTCTTTTCAAAGTTTTAAAGTCACTTTCAATTAACTCAATGCATTTCTTTCGTCTGAAGACACATGTTTCAGCATTTCAGTTCTCTTGAAAGGATACTGTCCACTGTGGATGACAAGTTTTATACATTTACAACGTTCTTTACGATGCTATTAAACCTTTCCCCTTTCAAAGATTCTTTGGAATTATAAAGACATGTTTCAGCATTTCAATTCATTTCAAGAACTTACTTGCATAAATGTCCCTTAAAAAATAAAATAACAGATAAATTAAATGAACAAAAACAAATATCATCATCATCATCAGTAATCTGTCACATGACAGGTCCACAGTCTCTTCCAAAACAATTCCACCACTTAATGCGATCTAGAGCTTTCTCCTTCACATGACAGTATCCTCTTCTGTCCCCAAGGTCATTCAGCATCTTCTTACGTCTTCTTGTCACTTCTATCCACTCATCTATCTTTCCTTCGATAACTTCTTTTAGAAGGCAGTTTCTGCGTAAAACATGACCAATCCAATTAGCCTTCCGTTTTCTTATTTCGTGTAGGATATTAATTCAATAAAAAATATTTTTAACTTCTGCAATCTTACTATTGTTATTCAAAACTACAGACCTATGCAATGTCATTAAACAAACACAGTTGTTGAGGCTGTATTTTAGAAATTCTGAAACAAGGATGATATTACACTGAACTCGATGACAATATATAAAAAGAGAAAATGAATTCAACAGAGCCATGCTTTCAGTAGGCTTCAGAAACTGGTCATATCGACTGTTTCAAGTTACCACTTTCCTTTAGGCCGCGCCATAGCTCAAGTGGTTAGTCACTGGCTTCCCACTGCGGCAGCCCGGGTTCGATCCCGGGTCTGGTCAAGTGGGATTTGTGGTGGACAAAGTGGCACTGGGGCAGGTTTCTTCCGAGTACTTCGGCTTCCCTTGCCAATCTTCATTCCACCAGTTGCTCCACAATCACCCTCACCTATCATCTGGGACTGGTACCATAGGCCAGAAATGGCCACAGTACAAGGGACTTAGTCCCACCCCACTAGCAATAAAAAAAAATACCACTTTCCTTGGCTGAAAATGTGTTACTGCATCAATTCCAAACACGTGTGGCCATGTTAATGCATGCAACACCTAATCCATTTCATTATAATTGATTCTTATAGTTACTTATTTTACAGAAGAGAAGTCCACATCCAGGCCTTTTTTTATAATTTCATGTCCTTTAAATCGTAGTAATGAATGTTATTAGAATATTAGATTATAGATCTATATTCACTCTGTAAATATATATTCACCTACAGCAACATGCATCAGTTGTAGGAATATACAGCCATATTATGACCATTAAATTTAATCACTTGAGTTACAGGTCATAGAGATATGACTGATAATGAGTTAAATTATAGGTTGAAACTTACTTACTTCCTTACTCATGGAGCTGAGCCCTTCTTGAGGAGCAGCAATTCTACAGCTACTCAAGAATTCCCAGCATTTTATGGAACTCACAGGTTCATTACTGTGTTCACAAGAGCCCTCCACTGGTCCCTACCCTGAGCCAGACCAATCCAATCCATACCATCCTATCTCTCTAAGATCCATTTTAATATTGACCACACACCTACGCTTTGGTCTTCCCAGTCATCTCTTTCCTTCTGGCTTTCCCACCAATATCCTATGCACATTCCTTGTCTCCCTCATTCATGCTACATGGCCTGTCCACCCCATCCTCCTTAACTTGCTCATTCTAATTATACTTGGAGAAGAGTACAAGTTATGAAGCTCCTCACTGAAAACATGTAGCCTAATTTACACTTACATTAAATAAGTAAGATATATACAAACATCTGTTGTCTTCATTGAAGTTATTTCCCTTATTTGTTGTGTTGATGGTTATTACATATGATAAATATTATATACACAACAGTATGTGATCCATAAAAATTACTGGAGATCACAGATATGTATCTAGCAAACATAGGTAAAGCTATCCCTGTAACAAGACTGTGGAGGTCCATAGGTTTCTGAGATGTCAAAGCTAACGCATTTTCTAGACAATTGACTCACAGATGGCGGTGAAGTTGTCAGCCTTATGAGCAGACCGTCCTTTATCCCCCACGAAGATTCCTGGAACTCATTTCTGTTAGAGGCTGAGTCAACCCCAGGGCCAAAGTGCGGCTGGAAGGATTAGGTAGATTAAAAAAATCCACCTCATCGGGATTTGATCCTGCAACCTTCCAGCTTGTAGCATAGTGCCTCAACAACTATGCTACCACATTCTCCATCTATTGAGCGCATAAGCTGTATCTGTGAGATAGTGCACAAATGGGAGTACAGCGAGACAGTAGCACTCAGCGAAGGGAAAATTCTTGACCCTACCTGGGCCTGAACTCCAACCCCTTGGTCATCCAGTCCATAGCCAGTAGCTATATCGACTACAGTATCCCAGCTCCCTTATCACACAGATGTAATTTTAATTAAAATGTGTCAAGACGAAAGCTATAGGAAAGTCCACAGAAACATATCTGATATAAGGAAATACTTTATCTCTGTTGTTTTAAAACATATCTTTAGAAAGGTCCAAAAACTGGGAGGAGCTGCAATTAAAACAGACACTAAAGTTTGTGATCCACAATGATGACAACTATGACAATTTATTTGGTGAAAAACATATATACCACACAGCAGAACACAGAACCTCTATAAGAGGTTAGCAATGACAATATTTTACAATGAAAGAAAGGAAAATGAAGTGCACATTCATGCCTGATCACCAGACTATGGAACAACATCAAAATAAGAAATAAACCCTCAAAAATATGTCAAAGTTCAAATATTTGACAAATGCAATACCAAACTTCAATTATACTCACAAACAAATTAAGAACGGGTTGAATTTGTGAAATCATTGTTACCAATCAATACTGAATACTTTGTCTTGCCATCTCCTATCTAAATATAAAAAGAATAAAATATACAAAAATATTACCTGTTATTTTGTATGGGTATGAAACCTGGTCCCCCAAGGGGAAAAGCACATTGATGGTGCTTTAGAATGAGTTGTAACTCTCATATGACAATAAGCAACAGAAGACTGAAGAAAATTTTGCAATGAAGAAAGGTGGGTGGGGTTTGTATGCAAGTAAAACTGCGCTGAGAATGCTCAATCAAAGAAAAGGACTACTTACAAGATATGTAGATCGGAGGATAATACTGAAAGTTATCTTGAAGAAACAGCATGTGAGGAGGTGGACTTCAGTTATGTGTTCAGGTCAGGGAAAGTACAAGCAGATTAAATTTGAGTAATGCTTGCTACCATTTGACTGCCTCTGTGGTCCAGTGGTCAGCATTCCTGGTTACAGATCCAGAGGTCCGGGTTCAATTCCCGGCACTACCACACTTTCTTCGGATAAGTAGTGGGTCTGGAACGGGGTCCACTCAGCCTCGTGAGGATAATAGAGGAGCTATTTCAAGGAAATAGCGGCTCCGGTCTAGAAAACCGAAATTAATGGCCGTGGGGATTCATTGCGCTGACCACACGACACCCTCTATCCGAAAAAGTTGGCACTAACATTGCTGACAAGTGACGGTCACTAGGTCAGTACAGTTCACTTGTGGACTAAAGGCCACGGAGGAAAGAAATAAAAATTACATTAGAATACTTCACATTTTATTGTAAATATACATAAGGACAGTTTTAATTTAGGTATAAATATAACTGCCTTGATTTAAAAAGTCAATAGTTAACTTATCTTCATATCACTTCATAATCTGCAACAAACATCTCAACTGATAAATCACAGGAAAAAAAAAATACTATACAAAAAACTTTCCAAGATAAAACGCAATCGACACTGATTTAATAAATTTACAAAATGAAACTGTTAAACATGATTTCATAATGCTGCCACGTTTGTTAAGAGTCAGTAGAAAGGCCAAGACACTATGTCAAAATGTTCTAATAATTCAAATATCATACCATTCTATATATCTATTACATCATTCTTTACATACGTGCACATATGAAATCACATGGTTACACTACCTTCACTTCATTGTTGTTCTACAACAATACCACTGTTCACTTATTACATAATATATTGGCACTATCCTCCAGATATTCACACACATACATGTATTCTTGAACACAACCCATCACATCTTCGTGCCTGGCTACGATACTCCAAACATTCTGGCAGTTGAGTTAATATGGGGGGGAATGTTGGTTGGAACCTAGTGAAGAAAACAAATTACAATTAACAACTCAACAATGATTGGCTGCTGAGAAATCATACTGGCAGTTCCTTAACACTTTCAATGCTTACATGGACTGGTGCATAAGGAAGCTGGATATCAAACATAAAGCCTCCCCTACCTCAAAACCAACCTCATCTTTAAGTATTGCACCATTTCTAGAAATTAGACTTTGACAACTGATATAGCATTATAACAATCACTACACCCCACATATAGCAGTATAACCTGGTGGACATTTTAGCAATGGCCACCATGTTCCACTTTTATGATGTTCTCCCCCACCCCCAAAAATTTCACATAATGGAACATTTCCAAAGGCAGCGCCCACATCATCAACCGCTTTTACCAAAAAAAGCAAAACTCTAACTGAATTATGTATTTATGCTATTCTGAAATGTCAATAATATACACATATACAGCACAGAAGGGTGTGGTAGTGCAAACAGCTGCAGTTTAATTATGATAACATGAACATATTCTGGAGCACACTTATGCACTCTGTGAGACAACTAAGTCTGCATGTTTCATCTGCAAAACTACTCATTAAAGTATAAAAGGATTTGCTACTGGTGGCGAATACTATACACTGTCAAGAGAATTTTAATTTTTGTTTATATTGTGACATGTTGAGCTCTGAATGACGCCCCTCCCCCCCCACCCTCCGCCAGCCGTGATGCGCCGAGCGAAGCTGAAGCGAGCCGATGTTAGCCGAGTCCTAGGATCCTGGTCGCTAGGCAACGCGAGTCAACAGCGGTGACGTCACCAAGTAGTAACAGCTGTTACTTCCGCTCGCGTTGCTATCAACACAGCGCCAGGCAACAAGGGTGCCTATTACGTGGCCGTATTGTCCGATCAGGGCTACATAGGGAGCAGCGAAGGCTATTCACAGTTAGTTGTACTGAGTCAGTCAGTGAGTCCTGGAGCTACCGCCGAGTTAGCTAGCAACTAGTCAGTTGTATTCTGGCATTTGGAGTGTACTAATTGTGATACTGCAGATAGCAGTAACCATAAATCTGTAATTTGGGTGATTGTAAGTGCGAATGTGAAATAAAATTCGCTACATCAAATACATCGAGAAGTTATTTGTCGCAATATACGCCCGACAATACGCGACAATATCATTCTATTACAACCCTTACTTTACATAAAGATCAAATTAAACTTCATTACTTCTCACAACTACTACTACATATCATAATACAGAGCTCATTAACCCCCTAAGTAGGGTGGCAGCTATCCCTTAACTTCTTCCAGAAGGGCAACTATTTTAAGGCATAAAGTAAGTAAGTAAAGCCATCCCTGTACCAGGCCGTGAAGGCCCATAGGGTTGAGAGACGTTGAGGGTCCCACATTATCTAGACAATCGGCTCAAAGATGGTGGTAACAAAATTAAAATAAATTCCAAGCCCACATCAAACTCAAACAAAAGTATATGTAACACCAGCAACCCACAATTCTTCACTATTGTGTTATATTTAGCATCACGCAAATAATTTTATTTCTTCATGCATTTGGAGCAAAAATTCGTTACCCTTTTTATGACCATTTGTAGCCAATTTACATTACCGTAAGGAACAGCTCTGCACTACTGTCACTCTCAAACTCACACTATCACTTGAACTCGAAGATTCATTTTGCGTATCTCATACGTCCTCTGCAGACATTCCTTCGGTTTCATTTGTACCACCAATGTTTCCTAAAGCAGGTTTGTGTTCACCTGAAACTAATTTCACTGGGTCCAGTGACTGAGATAAGCTCTTTCTAAGAGGCCCAACTGAGTAGGTGTGTTCCTTTCTCACCTGAAGACGGAAACAGATCCAGTGCCAAAACGTCGTGTCGTCTATTACCCACAATTCCGGACAATGGAAAAAGTCCAAAACCCCAGTAATTCTGTGTGTTATCCACCATCGTCAGAACCCTTTAGAAATATGATATTGCCTATTTGGATTTCTATCAATTATCCTTTGCATGGGAAGGCTCCTATAACTTCCACATTGTTCTTAATTCAATGTATCTGTACATATTACAAAAGTTTTCCAGGAACAGGTTTGTACATCTAATACTATGAACTCTAATAAAATTTTAGGGGCCAAAGAAAGATTTGGAGCACACTGGGCCAATCAGAGTTCCCACACGTATTTGATGCTTAAAGTGTCATAAGATAAAATTTTGCAAATTTATGGAAAAAAAGATTTTTATAATATATTGTGACATGTTGTGCAACGGAGAACCCCCCTCCCCCCCACCAGCAGTGACGCGGCGCGTGAGTCAGCGCTCCCCTCCCCCCCTCCGCATGGTAACGCAACACGCGGTGACGCAACAGGATGACGTGGCACTGATTCCTACTGTGACGTGGCACGCAACAGGCAAGCACTGCGGCTATATAAGGGAACTGCACAGCAGCTACGAGTTAGTTATAATGTGGCCATTGCCGAAGACAGTTCCGAGCTAGTTCCGAGCAAGCCTACGAGTCAGTGTGTTATCAACAGTTCTCAAGGCAGCAGCCTGCGAGTTGAGTTGAAATCTAGCCATCAGAGAGTTACGAGTTGAATTGAATTGTAGTAGTCACCGAGTTTAGTTGTAACAAGTGAATCGTGACAGTGTGAAGAGATTTGGGTGTAGGGTTTGTAAAGTGTGTAAACCTGTATGTGTTATAATTAATTGTAGCCGTTACTTGTAGGTTGTTAAATAAACCAATTAACGATCTCTACGGCGTATTCAGTAACGAAACACGTTACAATATAATCAATTTCAACTGAGAGACCTCAGAAAAATGACAAAATGGCCAGGGTTAAAATGCTGGTAAAAGCACTGGAATTGTTCTCCTCACTGCCGCATCCATAACATATTTATAATGTTCCCAGGCTCGTATCAGAAACATTTCAAAGTTTTACTTCCTTTCCCCTTATACACTTCCACGGCATGGTTCCTAAAACAGATTTAACTTTCATCTTTATTCTTTTATTTCAACAGACAGATTTTAAGAGAATAACTATCAAAATTTAGTATCAATCCTAGTGGAAATTATATACGACGACAAATTTGTGTTAAGCATTGGAAGTGCTCCTCTGAAATTAGTTTCAACTTACCTGACTGAGGCATGTGAGCATTTGATGTGTCTTGTAAAAAAGAACTCAGAGAAGTTGGCATCCTATTCACATATGGAGGTCCAGTGAATGAGTCCATATTTACACTGGAAACAGATGGTATTCTTTAAAACACATTAAAATTTCTATGTATAGAAACTGTATCCTACAACTGAAGCATAATAAATTATGTTCAATTTGAAGAGGCAAGCAATCTTACCTCATCAGTTTTGGATAATGTGTAGCAGAATTTGTATTACTGCAACTTCTTGACTGTGAGCCAGCCACACATCCTATAATCAAATTTCTGTAATTAGAGTATGTGAACACTTGCGATGAAAGTGAAGCATCTATAAACTACATTTTAGAAACAGTCTTGTAATCTAGAAATCAATATTATTTATTATGTACAGATAAACCTTCTTAACTCCAAATTAAAATTGTGTTCCATTATAACTGTATACCCCTTTTCCACTTTTCCACTTTCACTTCAACTATAACTAAAGAAATTGAAGTAAAAATGTATGAGGAAAACACTCCCTTAAAAGTTCTAACAACCCCGTTGGCCAGTCAGATGAAATGAAAAAACTGATTATGTATGAGGCAATTTCCATTACTCGCAATAACCAATTGATGATCGACATTTAGTTCAATGACACTTCATTAATAACAGGGTTTATATATAGCATCAAACAGAGAAGGAATGACCGAATGAATCGAAAAGACTGTGGAAAAAAAGGCGTTCTGGCCTATTTTAAGGTATTAAACCAGCAGCTGCCCTGAGGTTGCACACAGCTGCGGAAAAGTTCTGGGCTGAGCACGGAACAGAGAGCCCCCAAAAGCAAAGGAGAACTAGGAACCACAAACTTGTGTCTGAATGGTGAACAAATCAGGATATGGTAGGATGCAGATAAGGTCTATTTCAAGGTAGTTTCCTAACATTCACTACAGAGAAAAAAAAAAAAGTACCTTAGTCAGGACAGGCAATTAAACTAGCAAAGCAGCAGTTTTGACTGGCTGTAGCTTCTACTTTAACACGTATTTTGAACATGTAATTTTACCAAAATACATTATCCAACAATACTGCACGATCAGACTGACAAGACATGACCTGACTGTAGGGCAGTGATATCTTTCACGTCACTTTGCAGTAAATAATTTAATTAAAACTTTAATAAAAAATAGTGAACATTATACAGACTGCACCTACCCTAATACGTACTGGCAATCACACTACAAATGATGTCCGCCACTGCGACACTGTACTATGACATTTCAGTCAATAAAGCAGAAGACTATAGACTAGATAACCAAAGTTCAATTCCTGTAGACATGAGTTTTTATTCCCCCTTTGTCATATGGCTCATATCAGCATTAGAGCTCTGCCAGCTTCCTATACAACAGATACTGAATGCTTTTACAAGTAGTAAAGCAGCTGGACTGTGAAGCTGACGTCTTCCTAACACACAGGTATATAATGTGTGAACCTCCACAGCACGGTGCTTGGACAAAATAATAATTCTGCCCTCACAACTGTGTGGGATATGTAACATTCTTGACCCCACATCTACTTTGACATATCTGGGGTTTTTTATTGCTAGCGGTGTTGGACTAAGTCCCCTGTCTTGCGGCCACTTCTGGCCTATTGTGCCGGCCTCAGATGATAGGTCAGGGTGATTGTGGAGCAATTGGTGGAATGAAGATTGGCAGGGGAAACCGAAGTACTCGGAGAAAACCTGCCATAGCACCACTTTGTCCACCACAAATCTCACTTGACTACTCCCAGGATCGACCCTGGGCAGCCGCGGTGGGAAGCCAGCGACTAACCGCTTGAGCTATGGCGTGGCCTGACATATCTGGTTACTGCTACTACTACTTCAGTAGAGCACAATTATAGCAATGATTTGCATAGCTTGCAAAGATTTGAGACAGATCACCATCAGATCAACATTAAAAGTTTCTGGCAAGTGAAATAAAACTAATTCCTGTGAAAAATCCCTGTCCTTTAAAATAAGGTTTTGCTAGGGGTCAAAATTCGAAACTCTAAGACCATCATATCATGGTCTCTCGTACAAGAAAGAACTTAACATTCTAATGACCTACCTTCCAAGGAAGAATTCTGATTATGTTTGCCGGAAATCGCACTATGCACAGCTGCCTGATTGCCCTCAGAGTAAGCCATGGAACCTTTACTCCTTGCCGGCTTGTAACTGTTTGGAACCTCAAGTTCCTGCTTGCTCACTGTTTCCTGGAACAAATGCTTTTGGAATTCATCTTGAAAACCATAGCTCAGCTTGGACAGGTCTGTACTTCCAGTTGATGGGCGCCTTCCCGAGGCTGGTGCCGGATTCTCTGAATGCAGTTTACTTGGTTTTGACTGCTGCATCCTGCTTGGCACACTCACTGTCACCGATACAGAACTACAATTTGTTGTGACTGGGGGAACTTTTGCTTTTGTGGAGGAATATTCTAAATCAACAGTATCAAGGCTTTTCTTAGTATTGAAATGTCCTTGCAGTTCTATTAACTCCTTCATTACACGATCAACTTCCATCTGGACAGACTCTTCATCACCCTGCACAGTAGTCTGTTCCACTTCCTTCTTCAGATCAGTTCCTTTCATATTATTCGACTTATCTTTCTCTTCTCCACCATGTGAAGCGCTTCCTCTCTGATCAGAGGAGGGAGACAAGCCAGATGGTGGCAAAAGACAATCTATCTTGGGACTTACATACACTGAATTTTCCTGATCACACGACATCAATCTATCTTCATGGTGATAAACATCACGACTGCCTGCAGTAGTTGCTGAATTTGGAAAGTTCTTCAGAGATTCGTTGATTTGGCTGAGGAAGTCTGCGGCAGCCGCCGTCTCTTCCTCCTCTTTAAGCAGCCTCTCCACTTCCTTTTCCTGATGACACGGAGTTGCTGATGAGATAACAGAAGCAGACTGTTGTTCTAGAGGGGTACGTATAGTGGCTGTTACAGGGGAAACCTGATCCTTTGGAACTTCTGTCTTCTTTTTTCTGACTTCAGTTTTTAACTGTGTCACATTCTCACTCTTCCCTACTGGTTTAATAGTTGGCTTTGAACCTTCGGCCTTACGCGCATCTTTAACTATTTTGATCACTTCTATCCCATCATCTTCTACCTTCACCACTGCGGACACAGGACTCGCTTTGATAATGCTAGGTCGGTCCAAACTCGTGTCATGAAGTATCCGTTGCTTGAGACTCATCATTGATTTTGAAGGGGTCATGATGGGCGGTGACGCAGATGATGTAACTGAAGCAAGGGATGGCGACGACAATGAAGGGGTGACACTGATGCAATCAGGAATGTTCATTAATGGTAACGACGTCATTGCAACTGACTTCTGAACACCACCTGATGACGCAACTAGTTCAACAGGATTACTTTTAGGTTTACTAGGACTACTCATGATACTACTAACTGTGACAGGCCTACTTACACTGGAAGTTGATAAATCAAGAGTTTTAGGTGATATTCTGTCAACAGTTAGTTTCTGCTTAACACTTGGTAGGGGAAGCTGTTTCTCAGATTGAAAACTAGGACTGTTCTTCCCTGATGAGCTTGAGAATTTGGCTACTTTAACATCACTGCCAGTTTTGTTCCTACTAGGAACTGAAGGTGACGTGGCCAACTGCAAACTAGACAGTTTAGTCGAGTTTGTAACAGCGGGAGAATTACGAACGTTGCTAGTGATATAACTAGGCGAGACAGATGACAGCGCGGGCACACTGGAGCACACCAAATGCAACTGAGAATTAACATTTTGTGAGGATACTGTTGAACACTTAGTCCTCATCGTAACATTTGATGAAACACCATGAGGAAACACTGAACTTGCTTCTGAAGTAACAGCAGACTTCATTTTGGCAGTATTTGGTACTTGGGAGGTAGAAGTGCCAGCGCCAGAAGCTAAGGGCACTGGTGTCATCGTGATGGATACCGGCGGAGATGTCTTCATTCTTGCATTGCTATTGGCAGTAGAACTTTGTGAAAAGGCAGTGATAGATTGCATTGCAACATTAGTTGCAGGCCCGTGGGACAATGGAGGCATCGCTGCAAGCTTCTTAACTGGCGCAGACTTCTTCGGCTTCAAACTGGAACGTTAACAGAAGAAAAAAATTATATTTTCAAACTACAATTCTGTACTACAGGGCTTCCTTGAGCAGTTAATAATTATTCAGGCTGTTAAAAGTGTCCATTATGGAACCCAAATGTTCTTCACCAACAAAAAAAGCCTGTTGCCAACGGACCAGTTCAACCCATTTCATCTCTTCAAAATTTTCTTAAGAACAATTTGAATATTACCATTCCTTCATAGGTTATATTTCACAAGAGACCTGTGGTGTTTTTGAGCCAAAATTTTGTACATCTTCTTCCTTCCATGCCCTGATCATCCTTGATTTGATTGCAACCAGAACAAAAATTATGTGTCCCTGTTATGCAGTTTCTCCATTCCTCTCTTTATAATTTAAAAATTATTCTGATCACTCTGTTCTTGAAAATGCTTAGTTTATGTTCTTCCCTCTGTGTCAAAGCCAACCCAATAAAGAACATATATGACAATTTTTTGTACACAAGGCAAGAACATCTACAATTAGTTTTTGTACCTAAGGTAACCAGCAATTAAGAGAATAGAGTTTGTTAGTGATAGCATATCATAACTATATAATACTAAGAAGTTACATGTCTGATGATATTGTTGCCCTGAACATGCATGTACCATCAGAGTATAATGACACAAAGAACAGCTTCCTTGAGGAACTAGAAAAAGTATTCAATCAATTCCCTATATACCACATGGAATTCTAGTTAAAGAATTTAAATTTCAATGCCAAAACAAGCAGAGAAGATGTTTCCAAAACAACTGGGAGGGAAAGCCTAATGAAATTCATAATGACAATGGAGTTAGGGCAGTAAACTTTGCCACATTCAAAAGTTAATTGTTAAGAGTACAATGGTCACACATTGCAACATTTATAAACTCATTTGGGCATCTCCTGATTGAAAGACATGCAATCAGACTAATTATATTTTGACAAGCGAGAGACAGATTTCAAGTATACTTGTTGTCTTATCTTCTGGGGGAGCTGACTATGATATCAGCCACTATCTGGTGGCTGCAGAAGTTTGGGAGAGACTGTCAGTAAGTGACACAGCAAGAATCAATCTCAAGAAGCTAAAGAAGGCAGAAAATAAAGAACAGTATCAGGTTAAGATCTAAAACAGGTTAGCAGCTTTGGAAAACTTAGATGATGATGTGGACATCGACAGAGTTTGGAACACTAGGTTATTATGAACTGAAGCAGCAAAAGCTTAAGTCACAGTTCAAAGCAGGATGTTAAAACCACCAGATCAAAGGAAACAAACTAAATTTCAATGGTTAGAAAGATCTCAGCTAAATAAACGGAGATAATCTGAACAACACAAGGCAAGGAGTTAGGAGAAATTTCATGTACAAAAAGAGGGAATACTTGAGATACAAAATTAATGAAATGGAAATTTCTAGAGTGGGTGTTCAACTTCACAAGGATGACTCAGCTAAGTGAAGCAGTCAGTCAGTCAATCCATCAGCCAGTCAGTTGGTTAGTTAATAAAAATTCATATACTATAATCCACAGGCTTTTAGAGGCATGAAGATAAAACATTCTTAACCGTACAGTAACATACAGTAACAGGCCACCACGGTGGCCTGGTTCAATCCCGGGTCTGGTCAAGTGGGATTTGTGGTGGACAAAGTAGCGCTGGGGAGGGTTTTCTCTGAGTACTTCGGTTTCCCTTGCCAATCTTCATTCCACCAAATTCTCCATCATCATAATCACCCGGGGCAGGCTACAATAGGCCAATCAGTGGCCGCCATGCCAAGTGGACCCAGTTGGACTCCACCCCCCAGTAAGCAAATTAAAAAAAAATGTATCTTATTTCCTTAATAACCATTTTCACATGACTTTCCTATCTACATCAATATCACCCAATAAAATTTTATCTTCCGCATGCAACTAAGAAGCTGCAAATTTCACAACTTTTTCCAGTTCTGTCTCACTATATAACATGACAGGAATTCATACATTAAAATGTTCTACTTACACGGCATTAGCGTGGACTTCCCTGGTCTCCCGCAGCAGTGTGGACACTTTCATCCAACCGGGCTGCCAAAGAGGTTTCACTTCTGTCTCCAGAAAGTTGCGTAGATTTAGATCAGCTGACTCCTTGCGAGATTTAGCAAGTTCCAGGCACTGCAGTTTGATGCGGACCACTTCACACAGCAGTGACCTATTTGCAAGACATTCCCAGCATATTTCTTCACAGTATCATGCCATCAGGATATTATTAAAAAAACATAAGCTTTTTATCTTTTCAGAATTCCTCCTTTGGAAATGTAACAGCAAGGAGAAGTACCTGTCCACCTTTAACCGTAGTCACAATTTCAAACCCCAATGTTACAGACACGAACTGATTAATTCTCATGGACTTTGGACTATTAACTTAAGTTGAAAGATTAATTACAATTACACCGTAACATCTGCTGTGGTGTGATTAATCTTTAATGTACGGAATTTACTGCTCTAGAGATCACCTCCATCCATAATACAAGAAGCCATTTGAATAGTCCTTGTCACTTAAAGCTTAAAGATATACAAAAGATGAGCGAGGAAAAGTGGACATAAAGCCAAAAGAATTGATATATGGGAAGAGAGAGAGGAATATGGGCTTTCTTATACAGTGAGCCATCCTAGTGGAAAAGTCACAAGGAGGAGGAGGCGGGGGGGGGGTGATGTAGAAACAGCAGAACTAGAACAGGCAGAACAATGCAAATGCTTACCTAACTTCATGTGTAAATGGAAACTTCCTCCTAGGAACTTTGGACTTCTGAATTGCAGTTTTATTCTCGCCTTCCCCAAATTCACTGTCACTACTCGGTGATGGCAATTCTTCAATGCTCCTACAAATAATTCAACATTATAGAACCGAATAACAAGCTAACTAATAAATGTTCTAACAGTGAACAAACTTTTCCCCCTCACCTATATACTGATGGTTCAAAACACAAATACTCTATGTCCAAAATATACGGGATTTTAGTAAATTGAGGTTAAATATGCATCAACACAAAGTTCTGGTATGATATAAAATATTTCTTAATCATTCAGCCTTCATCCTTGACTTACAATATTTGTACAGACAAAATATAGTAAATTTAACAATCACAGGCTTACAATATCTCAAAATTTGCAAAAAAAAAATGCACATAAAATATTTGTGCCTTAAACCACTGATATATACACATACATAAGCACATATATTAGATACATCTTCCTAACACCACTCCATAATTAGAGCTTGTTTCTATTCCAAATAAATGACAATTTTGTATAATATAGGATGTTAACCATAAAAGATATTTGGCAAGTGGATCATGGGTTAAAACTACCATGACATGTTTAAGATATTAAAAAAAAAGGTAAAAATTTTGCCATAATAGGAAAGTTTGGTACTGAATGGACCAATATTTATGTAATTTGCATTAATTTATTTGTACTATATACATATTGTAATAATGTAACGTAATTGTGTGCGGATTTTTTAAAATACCCCATTAAAATCACAAATGTCCTGAATTAACATGTCCACTCTAATGAGAAGAAAAAGTCTGTCAGCCATGTATTAGCAAGTATTCAACATCCGAACATCCAAGAAATACTTCAGCTCTCTAAATACAGTAAAGCCTGCTTATAATGGAATCCCAGTAGACCATATTTTCTTGCTTCAGGCATACTCATACTGAAAACTGGATCATACAACTTGATCAAAATATTGTACAGTACATATCATGTGTACTCATGATCCACAATTAGAAATCAGAAAAGCAAGCTACATCTGCTACACTACACTATTACTCAGTAGTACAAACTGCCATTTTCTTTTTCCTCTAAATACTTTTTTGAGTAGTGCATTAACTATTCTGCACATGTTTTGTTAATGGTACTGATTATAATTCTTCCCCTTTTTGCGACTAGAATATTCCTCCTTCTCAGATACATTCCAAGAAGCAAAGTACAGATAAAATATAAGAACAGAAAACAAAAAACTTCCGACTAAACCATTTTCTGTTAAGCTCCTGTTTGCGTCATCATTTCCACTTTAAACAGCACCCACTTATTTCAGCTGATTCTATGTTGGTAATCGCTAACACAAATGTTTTATTACGGACAGAATTACATTTAATAATTTATGTTCCATTTCAGGTATGGTTTACTCTGCGTGTGCGCGCACATCTGCATGCACACATGCGTGCTCATGCATGCATTTTAATAAGTTTCAAGTTTTATGAATCATAACTGATGTACAACATTAATTCCTTACATTCACTCTTTCTTTCGTATGTAAACTTCTCGAGCTAGTAAAGCAGAAACATCATGACACTGTGAACTTCATGTCTTCAGGTTTTCTCTCTCTGTGTCTGATGTGTAACATACCTCTCAGGATTTAACCACACCGTACATTCAAGCTGTTCCAACATTTCGGCATACACTGCAGTCCGTATCATAAAGGTGATAAAAAAAGGTCACTCCAGCGTATGTAAGAACAATGTAACAGCTTCAATATACCATGTGCCTAACCCTGAAAACTGAAGCTAATCTATGTATTTGGAGGAGCAGTTCTAATTGTTCTCTCCATAACAGCAAAATTCATTATAACCCTATTCTATGAAATGCATATGCAATTTCGAAATTTCTCTTAATCAGAAATCAAGAGTTATTGAATAATCCATTAAATGAAACCAACACCGTGTGCCACCTTCCTCCACAGATAACGTAAAAACCTCTGCCACATAAAATTCAAAGCCCATAACCAGTAATAACCCTGATACCATGAAATACTTGTACAGTAGTGCACATCATACAAATAGGCAATGGTGAAGTTTTCAAACAGAAGATATAAGGTTATTGTCCTCTGGGCCGTGATGCTATGTAGTACAGTAGACTATTGCTGACATTTCAGAGAAATGTGTTGCCTTCACATTCAAAGTAGAATCTACTGCGCTACATGGCGTCACATTCCCAGAAACAGTAATCTTCAGTCACTGTCATGGGAACCTCAAACCTCAAAATAAAAGAAAGAAATTTACATGGAAGATGATATAAACATTTGATGAAGAGCTGGGATAAAAATAAGAACCTGAGCATGTATTGTAGCTTGGATACTAGTGCAGAAATTACATGCAGCGGCTAGAGACAGGCTCCTCATCTGACAGTACAGGAGAATTCTTCAAATTGGAATCGTGAAACCTTTTACTCCTATTACAGTCAACTCTCGATTATCCGGGCTAATGGTGGGGATGGAAGTCACGGTTAATCGAAAACCCGGTTAAGCCAAATTTTATTATACGGGCTGGACGACTGTGAAGGGTCGGAGTTCGAGTCCCGGTAGGGTCAAGAATTTTAACTTCTCCAAATCGTCCAGACCGGCTCTGGGGTCCATCCAACCTCCTATCCAATGGGTACCGGGGGCTCTTTCCCCGGGGGTAAAGCGGCCGGGGCGTGAAGCTGACCACTCACCTCCAACTAGTGCCGAGGTCAAGAAAATTTGGATCTATACATCCACTCCCCCACACGCCTTAATGGCGTAGGGCTTAATTCGTTGAGCAGAGGAACAACTTTACCTTTTACCTTTTAATACCTTCATAATACTATAGACCTACCTGTATTTAAATTTATTCATCCTCATTTCTATGTCATCTCATGGCCTATTTAATACTTTCTTTACATTACACTCAGTATGAATTAGTTATTTCAATCACTGTTCAACAACATCCAGCACTTTTTACGGTCACACTTAACACTTAAAATAATTTAATACTGTCTTTTGCTTTTTCGCGGCATTTTCCTTTTTACGGATATCCGTACGAAGCCTACGTAATATTAGCTTGTCACTTAATAAACTGTCCTCTTCACTCTCAAGATAGTCTAGTAAGGATTCCAAATGATTAAGCGCAGCACCATGTGATACTTTCTTACTGGCAACACTGTCCACCTCTTCCTCATTCTCACTTTCTTCCCGCTCTTCTGGCTGCACCCCCATTGAAGTTACGATTTCGTCACTGCTTAACATTTCGAAGCCCGGTTCACACGAGTCACAGTTAAACCACTCTCTTATATTTTCCTCGTTGACTTCTTCACCACCATGAACTTGGTTAGCCACTTTTGTCAATTTTATGGCTATCTCATTTTCACTGAATCCAGTGAATCCATGGATTTCGTCATCTTCATTAGTGATGAAAGGCATCAGTTTCTTCCATGAATTTTTCAATACAGATGGCTTTACTGTATCCCACGCTGTTGAAATCTCGTATATGGCATCTAATACTGAAAAGGACTTCCAGAAACACGTCAGATCATTGCCTTCATCGATGTACTTTTGTAGCAAATTTGATCTGTAGATTCTCTTCATACTTGAGATAACTCCTTGATCCATTGGTTGGATAAGTGCGGTAACATTAGCGGGAAAATATTTCACAAAAATATTTCCATCATCTGACCTCAGGAGACTTTCGTTAGGATGTGAGGGCGCATTGTCAATGAGGAGCACAGCTTTCTCAGGTAGGCCTTGGGATTTTAGATGGTCACGAACTTGAGGCACGAATTTAAAATCAAACCATTCTTTAAATATCGCTCTATTCATCCAAGCTACTTTCTGGTTAAAATAATGGATAGGCAGACTTGAAGCTACTGTTCCTTTAAAAGAGCGTGGTCTTTTCGCTTTGCCGATAACTACTGGTATTAGTTTGTGTGTTCCTGATGCATTAGAACAGCACAAGACTGTCAATCTCTCCTTACTGGATTTGTGACCTGGAGCCTGTCTTTCATTTTGAAATGCCAATGTTCTGGTTGGCAAGCATTTCCAATAAAGACCCGTTTCATCGGCATTATAGATTTGTTCTGGCAGCAGATTTTCACTTTTCACAAAACTATCAAAATTGGTGCAAAATTGATCTGATGCTGACAAGTCCCCTGACAATTTCTCACCTTGAATACTGATTTCTCGTATTCCATGACGCTGCTTGAAACGTGTTAGCCAACCGGAAGAAGCGTCAAAACTCCCTTCTAGTTCAAGTGCTTCGAAAAAATATTTAGCTTGTTTAGCACAAACTGGTCCTGTTATTGTTGTTCCCTGTGCCCTTAGTTGATTAAACCAGGTCAGCATCGCTTTGTCGAGATCATCGTATGTTGATTTCTTCATGGTTTTTCTCTTCTTCATTCCGCTTGAATTAGAAGACGAAGCAAAGGAAATTAACTCATTCTTTTGTTTTTTCAAATCACGAACAGTTTGTTCTCCAATACCGTATTGCATTGCTAATTGTTTAACTACAGCTCCTTTTTCCAGCTGATTGATAATTTCAAGTTTCTGTTGAATACTTAACACAACACGCTTCCTTTTAAACCCCGACATTTTGCTAACGCACTTGAAGATCTATATTAAGAAACTGATACTTACTTTCACAATGCACTCTCACACTGAGATGGTACCGTTAAATAACCTGGGGCGGTGTATTTGTCCTTGAAACTTTCCAAAAATTCTTGCATTCTTTCACCCCCACCCTAGAACATTGTGTTCGCATAACGGGACGAAATAATGCAGAGCTCGGTTCACACTAGTGCGAAAATAGTGTTAAACTCACCATGTGAAACAAAAGTGAATGAATATTAAACAACATATAACTTTAAAAAAAAAAGCCCCGGTTAAGCCGCAAACCGGTTAATCCGCCCCCGGATAATCGAGAGTTGACTGTACTAACATTTCCTAATTCAAATACGTATTACAATAAGCTGGTTGAGGCATGATGCTACAAGCTAAAAGGTCGCGAGATCGTATCCTGATGAGGTGGATTTTTTTCAATTTACCTAATCCTTCCAGCTGCACTGGGGTCAACTCAGCCTCTAACAGAAACGAGTACCAGGAATATTCTTGGGGGTAAAGGGTCACCAGCACGTAAGGCTGATAACCTTACCGCCATCTAAGAGCCAATTGTCTAGAAAATGTGGGAACCTCAACATCTCACAACCCTATAGGCCTTCACGGCCTGTTATAAGGATACCTTTACTTTTATTACAATACCATTAGTGTAAGGTCCAATGAGAATCCGGCGGAAAGTGTCATTATTTGTTATATAATGAATGACAGGACAATATGGTGAGAGAAAAGCGCCATTGACAGGGCTCAAGAAATACAACCCCCCTACTTATGACGAGAATTGGAGAACTGTGGCTGATGAATGGAAACTCAGCACATACATGTTACATATGCATAATTCATCTTCTAGTAAAACATTCAGGCATATGATGAATAAATTTTTATGTGACTGCTGGTTTAAGCTAACATTCCTGACTACTGGGCATAGCATACTTAAAAAATTACAACTCTCCATCAGGGGAGGCAGTTTCCTGACCCAGATTTCAGAGTGTGAACTAAATATCCTACAAAATGCAGCATGACATTCCATGTACAGTTAAACCGTCTTCAGATATTTTTTAAACGGACTGAAAAAAAATTAAGCTCATCAACTGTTGGCTTACTCTTCAATCTCAAAGACGGAATTCTGAAATGATCTCAAATTACAGAGCCGTCTCCGAGACAGATAACCCCAGAACTATGATTTCTCAGCTGAAACTATTAAGATGATAAGAATGACCATCAAGAGATAGAGCAGTCTTTAGATTCTGGCTTTCATTTTAGTTACAACACAAGCATCGCTGGGGAAAGGTCAACAACCTGCATAGCAACTGAGCATTTACATTTAAAAAAGCTGCAAAAAAAATGGTAATTCACAAGGAAAACTTGAAAGAGACAATAACATAAGCAGAAGGATTAAGCAGGAAAACTTCCTAAAAGGGTAAGCCCTAAAATGTGATCACTATTTTTAAATAAAGAATTTCTCGTCCAAACTGAAGTTTGCTTTACTAATGTATCCTAGAAATTCATAAAAATTACATCACAATTTCTTCTAACCACGTGTTTGCCCCCTGAAAACCTATCTAGTGTAGCGATGTCTGTTGTCCCAGACATACAGAACTGTCCCATATTTCACGACCTACTTTCATATACAACAAAGGTTTCACTGCGATTCTCAACTGTCCCATTTATTTGAGGCTTGAATATCAAGCATAAAAATCCACATATGAGTTACTGTATGGACATCACTATTTTTACTGTGCCCTCTGTAATACTGTGACATGTAAATGCCAACAAGCTGAGAAATTCTTAAATCTGAGCCATCAATAGGTGAACATTTGCCAATGATTTGCTTATACTGCAGTCACAGCATTTATGAAGTATAGGGAGCTAGAAGCGTGAGACTAATGACCGGTACTGTACAAGACAAGTCACTGCACTGTTGTTGCTGGAGGGGGGGCCAGTACAATAGACCACTGTAGGTCGTGGTACAAGGGCCAAGACAAACCCCTTATACATTCAACTTACTAGAATGTCCTGTGCAAATGTTTGAACACATTTCTTTTAAGCCCTGAACAAGCTTATAGTGAAAATGTACAAGAACGAAGATTGTGACAGGATTCATAGGTTATGTATGTTTCAGCTATGGTAGGTGTTTCTAAACTGAAGAAAAATATCAGTAAATAAAATCATCAAATGACTAATTTAAGTGCCATTCCAAGAAAGATGGTTTACATGAGAGTAATACCAGTGGAGAGGTACTACAGCATATGCAGTATATGAATGAAAACTCAAGCCTGAAGCAATATGTAAAGTCCTATCTTCGGGGATATAACGGCATATAGTCTGTTGACAGTCAAATAATAATTTGGAGGAAACTAGCAAGCTTACTAACTGCTTTATGCTGGTTTCTTGTTTGGCTTATTCTGTGACACTGAAGATGGGGGAAACATGTTCCTTCATAATGTCGGCTGACTTTCAACAGACTACACAGCATTTCATGTCAGAAGACAGGACTCTTCACAATCACTCAATACGTATTTGTGCATTTTGTAATTAAGTGTAAACAGTCGATGTTGAGCTACTGAATGCCCTGATTCATTCCAATCTTTAATGTAAATTACGAGTTATAAGATTACCTTGAATCCTGCCAACATAAGAGAGACTTTGTGGGCAGCTGGGTAACTAGCAGACTTTATCTTGCACCATACTCATACTTGTTGGGTGCTACTGAGTAAGACTTGATAAAACAAGAAGTGCTGGCAGCACTAAATATAGCTGATAGCAAGATGGGTGCTTCTAATGTGCCCCAAAGTTTGCGTTTCACACAAATGAATGCACGAAAACAGCATTAAGTCTCAATCCATTGCCTTGAACATCTCTCCCAGACCCATTCCCAACAACATCCTCTATTTATTTCACTAAACCTTCTATTTATGATAATTCTCTATACATTCACCAGAAAGCTCCATTCCAAAAAATATATTATTTTATTTCAATAGCCTTTTTTCTGTAAGATGACAACTCCCATTCATTGTTAAAGTTTTGGTTGGTGTAATTTGGTACCAACAAGTTCAACATAAATATTTTAATATATATCAATTAAATTTATAATCATGATTCTCATCTTCCATTTTAAACATCCCACATTTTAAAAACTGAAATCCAGCATGCTTTACTCAGTGACAATGTTCACTGAAAACTGGTTCATTATATACTGAATCTTTACATACTGGTTAATTACTCATAGTCTGTTACCAGCTAATTATGCTAAAAATATATTTCACTGGTAATGAATCGTTCTAAGGCTGGTATGACTAAAGACTTTCTAAACCCAAACAAATCTTGCTAACTCAAATAAGAAAACAAGAGACTGGGGTGCTTTACTCCATGAACCACTCTCATTAGTGTTAACCTTGGTGACCAAGCCAAAGCATTATCTTAACTCTGCAGACATGAAGGAAGTGAAATTATGAGCAGTTGAAGCAGCAAAGTCAAACTTGGGAAGTTAAATATAAACAATATGACACAAAAGTATTAATTAAGTGAGCAGTTACATGACATCTGTTATATGCTCTTCAGATGAGAAATCCAAAGGAGTAAAATATACATAAACATACATAAAAATTTCAGTCCACATTCTTTTATCATTTAAAGCAGAAAATCTCTTTTAAGTGGTCACATGTGAAATAACTTTCACTATTTTAGTGTCATCTTCATTGCAACTCACTGCATATGTTTGAAACAAGACAAGAGAGAATGTATCAATGAGGGCTAGTTCATGGCCTTGATTCAGAAATGAATAATTTCCGATTCTAGATCCATCACTGTGAACTGGCCCTTCATCAACCAAGACAGAAATGGTTATGCAATTTTCCCATTCCTCATGCCTAAAATAAAGTAACAAAAAGCATTGGTGTACCAAGCATATGAGAATAAGGCAAAGCACCACTGGTGTAAAAGCCCCAATTTTAATTATTATCCCATTAAGGGGGGTCTCTTACCAGTAGTACCTATACAACTCCCAGTATATTTGTGGGCTGTTTGAAAAAACAAAAGAACATCACATGTCAGCAGTCATACTTGGATGAAGCAACACGTTAAAAAAGTAATGTATAGTGACAAGAGTGAAAAAACAAAAACAAAAAAAAAAGTTAATGATTTAATCAATCTATTTAATGAAGGCCAACTCTTGAATCATTGTCTGAAAAAGTACTCAGTGCCGGATAAGGCCAACAGAAGGTCTCTCAAATTTTGGAAACCTTATAGCTCTTGCTATGCCTCAAAACAATTCATGATGGTTACTATTTATTCTGAAACTTACGTCTCGCATTAAGTGAATAACTTAATTTCCTGGTCTGGACGTGGAAAAGAGAAAATCCTTGACCCTACGGTGATTCAAAATCTGACCCCTCAGTCATCGAGCCTGTAGCCAGTCACTATACCAACTACACACAGCAAACCATGATCAAACACGGACAATACAAAGAATCTCCTTTCTCAAGATAGACAGGCAGCACAAGATCAGCCACCTCCAAGAAAGACAATAGGAGAATTGACACGAACCGCATGGTTTATAAATTTTAATCTTAAACAACAAAGTTTTTAAGAAACTTTAAAAATTTTAATACCAGGAAGGCTGCTGTGACTGTGAAAAGTTGAACATTGTGTACATTGTGTATTTCAGACATTATATGTGTATGTATATGATTTAACACCTACTGTAATAGTAGTTTCTGGAAAAAGTATAGATGCCCTCTGAAGATGATCCATAGGGATCGAAACATGTAAGGGTGATGAGTTTTCAAGTGATAAAACTTAAATAGTCACACTGGAGAGTGTTATTTTTGTCTTTGTTCCTTCATTTAAGTTTCTCCCAAATTAACATTCAATTTCAATGATGACAGTGTTAAGTCTCCTCTGTTTAAGGTTTTCCTCGGTTTAAATGTTCATATCCACTACTCCATAAAGAAACCTAAAACGATTTCTGCTTGAAGAAAAACTGGCCCCAGTCCCGACTCACTTGCCACAACCTGAACACAGTCTGAGACTCTATGTTGTGAGAGGTTGGTATCTAACTGCTATAGCTACGACAAGGTTTTCAAAATTCTGAGTAAGCTCACACATTTCCTACCGCACAGGCTTCCAGTCTTACGTACTTTGATGTTCTTAATGTTACACTCAGGTAGTGTAAGTTTATAATAAATTCAATTTAGCCATAAATTAGGCGACCATTGCTGTCAGTGTCAACAGCTGCATGGAAAATTTTGCATCACACTGATATTCGCCATTCTACCAAAAAAATGAGTTTAAACAAAAGTTTCATATTTTTCAAAGATCTGTTACTGTACAGAGTATCCCATTTATTTTGATCACTTGAAACAAATCTCATATCTAATAAAATTTAAAAAATGTTTCAGATCAAGGTTGTTTCGTTTCAAGGCAGACATCAAGGTTACTAGCACTTTTCTAAATGACAGCCTCTTATTTGACAAATTTGAAACTATTTTCACAAAGTGTCATTCTCATTATAATAGAAGTCAAACAGTGGAAAGATAGGAAAGAATGAATACCTTGGTACTTTGAGCCAATAAAAGAAATTACAAAGGTGCTCAATGTGCTGGCCACTAAAGTTAATGCAGAGTTGCAACTGTTGGATGAATGACTTACCTTGGTCATTTAATTAGTTGCAAATCTGTGGCAGCACACATCAGTAACATGTTGCCACATATTTCCCAGCACTGTTGGAACATCCTGGCACACAATGCCCTTTGCAGTTCCCCATAAAAAAATCCACTGTTAGGTTAGGAGAATAAGCATGCCAAGTTCCACAAATAACTGAAGGATCAGAACATTCATCCATCCAATGGTTGCAACTCTGTATTGGCTTTCAACGGTCAGCATTGCAGGCAATCTTTGTAAATTCTTTTGTTGGCTCAAAAAACCAAGTTATCTGTTCAGGTTGATACTGTTGCAGTCTATGATAATCAGGATGGTACTCTGTGATAACAGTTTTGAACTTTTCAAATAAAAAATAGATTTCAAATTAAAGAGTGCTAGTGACCTTGAAATTTAAACAAAAATGTTATAAACAAATTGTATATAGTATTTTGCCCCTCAAAACCAAACCTTTGTCCTGAATTCTGTAATTTCAGCATCCTGTTGCAATTGTTCACATTAGCGTCCATTTGTCTATAATCCGTCTAAATTGCAACACTATTTATTTTACACTTCAACACGCTCTCTAACACTACATGTTTCGGCCTCAAAAGGCCATCTTCAGGTGTTTTTCTACAGATATTCAATTAAGATTGTGTCGAAACTGTGACACTGTTTCACTGTTCCAATTCATTTAAAAAAACCATACGCTGTAGTCTTCTTTTTAATTAAAATGAGATAAAATTCTTTTATAATTTGTTACTTATTGTTTTGCTTCACATAGGGTGTCGTCATTTCCGTAAAATATGTTTTCCTTGGTGTTCATCAACTCCACACGTTGAGGAAGAAACACAAACCAGGAGAAAATAACTAACATGAGGAACAAGCTGCCAAGGAAAACATCTTATATTTTACGGAAATGACGACACCCCCTCGTGGTGAGGGGGTTTGAGTATGCCAAGGACCCTGAGAGCTATACCAGCGGTAGCGTAGCTACTGGCAGGGCCTCCCTTGCTGGACAGGTCAAAGGGTAGGCATCAGACGAAGAGAGACACCGAAAACTGATGCCGGAAGCAGCGTCATCAGCAGCTACTTGAAGCACAGAGAAAATGATGCTCGAGATGGTTCAAGTTCGTATAGCAACAGGCGTGACCAGAGTGGTTTGAATGGCTGTTGTACTGCGATGTGGAAAGCAAATGGTAAAACTACCACATTATCACTTTTCCTGGATAGTCTCTTTCCAAAAACAGAAGATCGCATTAAGTGGAGAAACTGTTTTGGAAGAGGCTGTGGACCTGTCGTATGACAGATTACTGATGAATGAATAACGACACCCTGAGTGCAACAAAACAATAAGTAACAAATTATAAAAGAATTTTATCTCATTTTAATTAAAAAGAAGACTACAGCATGTGGGTTTTTAAAATCAATTGGAACAGTGAAACAGTGTAGCAGTTTCGACACAATCTCAATTGAATATCTGTAGAAAAACACCTGAAGATGGCCTTTTGAGGCTGAAACATGTAGTGTTAGAGTGTATTGAAGTGTAAAATAAACAGTGTTGCAATTTAGACGGATTATAGACAAATGGACGCTTTGTCCTGAACTTTTTTATTCAAAGCTAAATAAGAGATTTCAATAGATCGAGATAAATGGGACACATGTATATAATTTCACAAATTACAAGTTCACACACTGGCAATGTAGGAAACTGAAAAATATAATGCCAATGTGTTCTCCAGTGGGATAATGTTCATATCACATTTCGTGAATCATACCAAAATCTGCGAAAAGTCAATTGGTTCAAATTTTAAAGGGGGAAACAGACATAAAGGTGACTTCATAAGCCTACTATTTTCCCCTTAGAAAGGAAAATCAAAATATCCATTCTGTATTGTTTAAATTATTTTAATGACATATATAAATTATAGATTTTGTTCAATGTATTATCCAATTATCAGCTTAATTTCAAAGAAACGCTCTCCATGCCGAGAACAAAAACAAATAATGGTTAAATCTCACCGCGAGGAAAAAATGAACCCACTAGAACGAAATCCACATTATGGCACAGCAGCTGTAAGCTCCTTAGTCGCCCACCTTTATCCGGCACTGTATGTACTTTAACTTAATTACCATAAAATGGCATTTAATCAGTTTTCTCACAATTCTACTGTATTGGGTGTTTACAAATTAATACCAGTACAAAACCTATGTCTCTATCTTTATATGAAGGGCATTTCATACAAGTGAAAAATTACAGGGAACATGAATACAATACTTACTTTTCATCAGCAACTCTCTGGCATTCTTTCGAAAAATTCTCTAGAACAGATGGCATCATTCTATCAATTACACTCTTCAATCTGAAATCAATGCAATCATGTTAATAAATACATTTGGATAGAACATGTAACAGATTTATAACTATGTAGAAAGATTGTTTATGAGCGCAAAATCTCCTGAGAGAACTAGGATGATATGATACACAAATTAGACATCAGCTAGATGGCAGTGTAATAATAGGATCACGGAGAAAACACTTTCACTAGTGCATGCATGGCACTTTTACACTAGTGATGGTCTCAAAATCATGCAAACACTACAAAAGGTATCCAGTTAATATGCACATTTGTGAACCCATAATGCTGCTTTTGTCAAAGACAAGTTCCTCTCTGGTGAATACAGTGCAACCATAACAGAACATTTATTACTTATAATACAAACTTAATTATGGTCAAAAAAATCGTTGCCATCGATTTTATAACATTATGCATGTGGAAAAACCTCACATAAAATTGAGGGTTCTCCCTGGCACTTTCATCACAAAGAGGGATTCCTAACTGGAAGCAACTTTGTTCCATAAATTTTTTACTTTAATTGTATTTGGAGATTTGCTTCGTTAGCTTACTTACAGTTGGTGGGCCATAAAGGTACCATTAACACACCCTGTGTGCCATTCTCTTGACTAAAGGAAAGAATTCTAGAATCTGAGTCTGTCTGTATGAACAAAGAATTCACAACCTTAAGGCATAAGTGTGACGTGCATACACAGAGCCATTCTAATAAGCGATTGAAAAACACCGGCCAACTTCTCAAAATGTCACAATCACAGATAGGAGATGACATTTTCAGGACTGCATTTAGTTTTAGACCATGTCAGTATTTATGGACAGGTTGGAATGCCAAGAAAGCCTGATGGCCATCTTAAGGACTGCATTAACATATGGAACAACTTGTATATGATCTCTCCTCCTTACAACTACATTTGTTACTGAGGCCAAAGGTCACAGTAACATTGGCATGACCACACAAGTGCACTGCATTGCAATGAATCCACTGTGGACACTTCAAAGTTGAGATACTTCTTCAAAAATTAATATTATTTTGTTGGACGTGCATATTTCTTTTCTTCAAGCAAATTCCACGAAGGTGCACATGGTACTGAAGTAAACACAGTATAAAAAGCATACTTACTTCGTCATTGGCTCATAAATTTTATCTTCTTCAGTTTTAATCAGAAGTTTCTTGGCCCTCTTAATGAGGGTGTCCTTCGTGCAAGGGAGGTAAGCTGCCAAATGGCCATACACAGCTTGGCGACCACTGCATGGCAAAGCTCGACATTTGTGCTCCACCCTTCAAAGAAATTAACCAAAATATTGTACACAGACACCTCCAACTGTCATAAAGGTATTACTAACTTAAACTATGCCAACAGCACTCACAAGCATGAACATCTGATGCTTACTATCCTGTACATGTGTTCATCTATACAGATAGCATATTGCTACAGACTGAAGTATGAATATTATCTAACACTTGAGGTTTACATGGCGGTGACTATGAAGACTGTCATCTTCTGGGATGTGGCGCCATGTAGATATTGTATAAACCAACTGTAACTGTACGCATCCTTCACGGAAAGTCTTATTTGTTTGTAAGTAACGGTTAAGTTTAGCTGTAGAAATGAGATGCCCCGGAGGGATCATGGTCCTCTGAACTGGCCTTTTGTTGCGAGGGACAGAAGGGAGGTTGGTGAGTCCATTGCATTCAAGGGGGAGTAGGTATACCTTCTTTAGTCCGTGCCTGTGGGGGTGGAGGACCTGTGGATCGAAGCTTCGAGAAGCTTCGAGGTGTGCAGACCGGAAGGGGTCCGTGTATTTGGTCATGAAGCCCTCCCAGTGGAAAGTTCGAGATGGCTAAGAACGTGGTTTCTGGAAGCAGCAGAGGGGGTAAGGAGTTAGTTAGTGAGTAGAAGCCGGGGAGTGAGGGAGTAGAAGCCAGGGAGTGAGGGTGTTCATGTGGAACCTGTGCTAGGGGGTTAACCGATCGAGCCCGCATCCAAAAAACGACGTAAGCGAGCCAACACCCATGTACCCCTGGGATATAAGACTCATTCCGCTGAATTTAGTCAAGGCATACACCCTGTGGAAGTAAAGCGTGTGGGGACGGGTGTACAACGTTTCAGCGGAACATAACGCCTTTTTTCCTTCTACCCTGAAGATAGAGGCGATACAGTCCTCCGAAACGTCGGTTTATATAGTATTTACATGGCACCACATCCCAGAATATGGCATTCTTCATATGACCATTATCACTCACATCTATGAGCAGAATTTCTAGAAAGTATTATGCCTGTCTTCCTGTAAATGCATTCATCTCTACTGAGAGACCAGCATAATGCCGTGAATGAAATCAATCACTGCACATATTTTCAACTATGAGTAATACAGATTTCCATAAAAACTCAAATAAGAGATGTGACTATCTAATTTATAATTGCAACAATAAACAGAGACTATTTAGTTACTACATTAACATGCATACAGATCAGACCCTTTTAAGATATAAAATTTTGTTGTTTCATATTATATATATTGTCACGTGTTGGGTGTATAACGCAACAAATAACTTCACGCCTTGTTGGTTATAGCGAATTTATTCCACTCACTCTTACAATCACACAATTTACAATCTGGCAATTACCGCCATCGGCAGTATCACAAATACTAGACTGCAAATGCCAGACTACAACTGAAAGGTTGACTGCCTGGATAACTCGTAACTTGAGAACTGTGAACTCGTAATTCAAGAACTAACTGTGAACAGTTTTCGCTGCTCCTTATTTAGCCTCGTTCCGAACAACACAGAAAACAGCCACGTAAGAGGCACCACTCTTGTCTGGCGCCATGTTGCTATCAACGCTGTTGGGAGGTGTCTCTTGCAACCACTGTTTACCCGCGTTGCATAGCGACCAGCATGCTGGGACTCGGCTCGCTTCAGCTCCGCTCGGCACGTCACCACTCCCGGGGTGGGGTGGGGGTCCAGCTAGCGCGACACGTCACACTATATATATACACCTCTGTGGTCTAGTGGTCAGAGTTCCTGCCTACAGATCCAGACAACCCGGGTTCAATTCTCGGCACTACCAGATTTTCTGAGAAGTAGTGGGTCTGGAACGGGGTCCACTCAGCCTTGTGAGGATAATTGAGGAGCTGTTTCGAGGAAATAGAGGCTCTGGTTAGAAAACCGAAATTAACGGCCATGGGGATCCACTGCGCTGACCACGCAACGCCCTCTATCCGCAAAAGTTGGCACTAACTTCACTGACAAGCAGCGGTCCTCAGTTGGTATAGTTCATTGCAGACTACAGGCCACGGAGTTTGTTTTATTTATATATATTGTGACATGTTGACCCCTACCTCCCCAGCTGCACGTAGCTGTAACATAGCGCTTGCGTAATAGGCGAGTAATCACCCCACATCCTGGTAGCTAGGCAACGCGCAACATGCGGTGACGTCACCGAGGGATATCGCGGTTACTAGGCAGCCGTCAACAACTCCGGACAGCGTGGCTAGCAACAAGGCACCAGGCGACAACTGTCCGATCGAGGCTACATAAGGAGCAGCGAAGGCTATTCACAGTCAGTTGAAACATAGCAGCCTGCGAGTGTGCGATAACTAAGAAGTCAGCGAGCGGAAGACTTACTGTGTGCTTTCAAGACATAGTGAGTGCTGTAGTACAGTTATACTCGGAGTGTGTATTTCAGGGAGACTTGTATAGCTCCCGCGTTATTAATACTTGAAGACTCTTGAAGACAGTGTTAAGAGATTTTGTTGTAGGGTTTGTAAACTGTGGAAACCCGTAACGTTGTGATAATTAAGTGTAGCCGATAGTTGTAGATTGTTAAATAAACCAATTAACCATCTCTACGGCGTCTTCAGTAACGAAACACGTTACAATATATACATAAGGTAAGGGTGACAGGGAGACAGTGTGGAGAGAGGTGGGTAAGGTTAATGGCACACCTCCCTGTGGAAGCTTCCAACTTCACACACACAACCACACACAAACCTGTTAGCTTCTAGACTGTTCTCTAATAAGCAGCCTGTACTAACAGCCACAATGTTCCAGAATGACTACAATGGAATATAAGTGTGTGGAATCAGTAAGCTGGTTAATCTTGGCCAGGAAACAGTACAGTGCAGATGTGTGGGTAGACAGGAAAAGAAGTGTGTACTATGAAACGCAAGCAGTAAGTTCTATGCTGGCAGTGACAAGGCAAATGCAAGAAGACAGTGCAGTACTGTTGAATGAAATAGTAGTGAACTAGATAAAACTGGTGTCGAGACCATGACAAACTGAAAACGGCCCCTCCGAAACAAGATAAATGTTACAAGAAATACTTATCACAAAGTGCTGCTGCAAATCTCATATTTTCTAACTGTATCACATACACGGAAGCAGTTCCAGAATATCTGAATATCAACTAACAAACCTGTGAGAAAAAGCATGCCAAGACACATATGGTCCCATGATGAATATGAAAGGTTTATAAAATACACATTCTTTTCAATATTCTACTAATGTCTCAAAGTAGAGGTGTTTAATGAGAAATGTGCCCATGATAAGGTCAAATACACGTTACAGAATAACTTCATATATTTTCTTACTTGAGAAGCATATTGTTGACCTCGGTGGAAAAAAATTTGCACTTGCCCTCTGCTGACGATTCAGCTGCCCGCCTCTTCAATGCCACAAGCAATTCTTTCAAATCCTCCTGCAAATGATCTGGAAGTTTCACTTCTTCATTTGCAGAGGCTTTCTCCTTGTCCTCCACATCCTGACTGTCTTCAGAGTCTGTAGTGATTAGTGAACCTTCAAACAGAAACATCATTTTTTAATCTAACAAATTCGGAACACAAAGTGGTCAGTAAACAGTGAAGGTACCATTTCACTGCACAGTACTAACACAGAGAGGATTTTGAGAATACTGTATCAAACAAACAGAAAAAGGGGGGGCTGTTCATCTCGGTTTTCCAGACCAGAGCCACTATTTCCTCGAAATAGCTCCTCATTCCAGAGCCCATTCCAGACCCACTACTTCACAGAAAATCTGGCAGTGCCCAGAATCAAACCCGGGACCTCTGGATATGTAGCCAAGAACTCTGGCCGCTAGACCACAGAATGCTATATCAATATTCGTTAATACAGAATACAGCTTTATCTTAATCCAGGCTCCAGAAATATGCTCATAACTAATGACTGGTACCCTCTTTCATGAAAATACCCGTACCATAATTTTTATGCACGATATTGAATTGCAATAAAACACAATTTTATGATGTACAAACATAGTACCTACTGGTATTATCCTACTAAAATTTTGCAGTTTATTATTAAATATGTTAAGTGCATTTTAAGCTACATAAATAATAAAAAATGTAGTATATAAGTGAATAGATTCTGTCTCACCTACAAAGGCAGCTGGCAACACCAAAATCATTTTTCTGAGGACATGACACAATGCGCTTCAGCCTAACCTAAGTTTATATAATCTGTAAGATCCAAGCAATCAATTTTATGTAATTATTTCACAAGTATAAGACTTAGGAAGTAATACAGTGTATTCCGCATAAAGTGGATCCAGATTTCATATACCAAAATTGAAGATATTTCAGTAGCATCATGCAGCTAAAATATTAACCACTCATGCTTGACTTATGCTCAGTTCACAATGGTTCCTATATTATCATCCACTATGTTTAAAGCCCTACACTTTCACTTGAGAAATAAACAGCCATTAGGGAAAAAATTAAGAAAATACCCCACTGTTATGATTATTGTATATAAGATCACCATTTCTATTCCAAAAATCGTGATCTCCTTCCAACATTGTCCCTCTGACAAGTGACCTCAGATCACACACACTACCCTCGCAATTCATACCTGACTTTGAGATGGAACTTCCGCTATCTTTGCTTGTATCATCCTCTCGAGCCGCACTCACCACTGACTCAATGATATCAGTGATGGATGTGTTACATGGTTTTGTGACAGAGGCAGGATTCAGTGCAGCTGACTTCTTCTGTTCTGGTGATAATTGCACACCTGCAAGAATAATGCAATATACAGGCAACAGAAAATTAACCTCATGATCCTGATCACATAACAGTATACAGCCCACTAACGTAACAACAATTTAAGAGTACGACTGCATGTTTCTTCAACAGTTTGCAATTATTCAGCTGGTTAAGACGTCTGGTGTTACTGAACATAAATATCTGAACCTCATCCTGAATCTGTCTCTAATCAGAACATATAAAGGTCTGTTTCTTTAAGATCCAATTTAATATTATCTTTTGCTTTATCCCAGTGTCTCCCAAATACTAATCTACCCATGAGACTTTCCAATCAAAAGATTGTATATAATGTACCCCTTTCCAATGTACTATATGTCCCAGTCATTTCATTCTTCTCATTGTAAGCACCCTAACAATACCAACAGACAAGTACAAGTCATAACAAAATTTCTAATTACAGTAGAACTTGGTTATAACGTCATCAAAGGGACCTAAAAATAGTGTCGTTATAAACGAATGTCGTAACCGACATGGGCACTTCCACAGTAGCCTTATGTTAGTCACGTAAAAATCTACCAAAAACAGAGTTAAAATGTTGCATTTTTTTAGTGAAATACGTAGTTAAGTACAGACTAACGTAACATAAACGTGGAATTGCCCAAATGTGTAATATCAAAGACATATTACAGCGCTTTTCACTGACAATACACACAATATTTCACGAATCACTTTAACTTTCTCTTCAATGCTTAAAACTTTCCTTTTCATTGCCATGTTTTCGCTGCTGCACTTCTCTGGGTTTAGGCAGGAACACTATAGGGTAAGTAGACAATGTGAGGTCCTGTTAGACGAGATTCTAGGAAAGGAATGCAGTTAACAACCTGCCGCGTCCTCTTGCCCTATTCACGCAGTCCCACCACACACCCTTTTTTTCGCATAAAACCCATGCTCCTCTTGCAGCCCGCAGTCGTATTCTTCCAGGACAGTCACGTCAGCAAGTAGAGAAAGTGAGGGTGGGCAGACACATCGAACTTTCCCACGATATCAGAGAAATTCAGGAATGAAAATGACGTTACATAAGAGGTTGATGCATTTGTGCATGTCATACTAAGCAAGGTATAAAAACAGTTGCTTTATGAGGAATTAGTTCGTACCATTGAATATTTGACGCAATAGACAAGGTGTCGCAGAAACTGATGTTGCTATAACCAAGTTTTACTGTACATAATATTCTCCAGACCGCCTCTGTGGTCTAGTGGTCAGAGCTCCTGGTTACAGATCCAGAGGTCTGGGTTCGATTCACAGGGCTACCATATTTTCTGAGAAGTAGTGGGTCTGGAACGGGGTCCACTCAGCCTCATGAGGATAATTGAGGAGCTATTTCAATGAAATAGTGGCTCCGGTCTAGAAAACCGAAATTAACGGCCATAGGAATTCACTGTTCTAACCACGTGACACCCTCTATCCATAGAAGTTGGCACTAACTTCGCCGACAAGTAGCGGTCGCTTGGTCGGTATAGTTCACTTGCAGATTACAGGCCACGAGTTTGTTTGTTGTTTTTGTTCATAATATTCTCCATTCCTATGTTACTTCATCACCATTAGGTACAAATATTCTAGTCTGTTCTTATATACCATCAATCTGGTCTTCTTTCAGTGAAAATGAAACCAACATTAATCCAAAAGAGAAATTGTGTGTGTAATAGACCATATCAAAAATAGCTTTCTTATTAAAATAAGCATACAATTTAACATATAAATATTTTTAAATCTCTGGGCTAAAAATACTTCAGAATCTATAATGGTCCAGAGTAAATCTGGTATGAATAGCTCATGGGTGAATATGTACCATACATAATCTCCAGGGACTTAATCTCTTAAATAAGAATAAACACTAGTTGCCCACAATGTTAAAAGTGAAACACTGACTCACAGCAATACTAGGTGTTACTAGAAGTCAGCTCATTAAAGATCCTTAGCTTTTTTTAATAATTAATTTCTGAACTGATCATGTAGAGAGCATCAAGTGGTACTATGACTGGGAGTGAAACAAAGTAGGAAGAAGCAATCATGATGTATTTTAAGGAACTTTAATAGCATTTGTATGGATGAACTGATGAATACTATGAAAAAACTCCATCAGAACACACCAACGCCAATAACTGAATACAAAGCAGAAATGCTAATTGCTCAGTCAATGTCTTCAGCAAGAGACACGTGATCCTATGCAAAGAGAACTGACATTCAGTAAATTAAAATTTGGAACAATTAAGAATTATAAAAACACATACCAGATGCTGTTCCCAACTCTAAGGACTCTCGTTTCTCCCTCAGCAAATCCTTCACTGTAACAGATTTCTTCTTAACCAAATCATCAATGGCACGTTTCTTTTTCTTCTTAAGAATTTCCCGGTCATGTGACAGAAGCTTCCTCTTCTTAAGCAGTTCGTCCTTCTGTTCCACTGCCTGCAGTTTCGGTTTCTAAAAGCCAACAAACATGGCCCAAATCAATTAACCAAATACACAAACAGTTCAATCACATGAAAACTCCAGTGAACGAACAGTTTGCCTCATTTATTTAGCATATCAATTCAATTTCAGCAGATTCAACATGTAATCAGAACTTTTACTCTGATTCATAATTCGTAGAAACTGTCTCCTGCATTATGCATTTACTATCTTGGAAGACGCTTGTTGCCCTGTTGACACCTTTCCCCAACATCATTATTCTAGGCGAGTACGAGGCAGTATGAATAATATGAAGTCTCACCTTTCTTAATGCTAACTTAACCTTCAAGTGGTGCACTCGTTTTCATAAATGAGGACATGATGATCGACGCATCATCTTTTATTGCTAGTGGGGTGAGACTAAGTCCCTTGTACTGTGGCCACTTCTGGCCTATTGTACGTGCCCCAGATAATAGGTGAGGGTGACTGTGGAGCAATTGGTGGAATGAAGATTGGCAGGGGAAACCGAAGTACTCGGAGAAAACCTGCCCCCGAGCCACTTTGTCCACCACAAATCCCACTTGACCAGACCCGGGGTCGAATCCGGGCCGTCACGGTGGGAAGCCAGCGACTAACCGCTTGAGCTATGGCGCGGCCAGTCAACGCATCACAGTATAACCATTGCATTCAAAATTGAGAAAACTCCACTACATAATTATAGCCGCCTCAATCATGACGGACAACAATTACATCCAGAGTAGGGGAAATGCTAATATGATGATTTTGTGAAGGAAGTGTCAATACATGTTTCGGTTAGCTCAGCTGTTCCTTATATCAGGAAGAATACATCTGCAGAATATCCACAGAAGTCTACAATCCAGAATGCCTGGTTCCAACAGTGAAACACAAGGGAGGTTCTGTGATGGTTTGGTCAGCAATATTGTGGTACAGTATTCTGTTAGTCCCATTATTATGCTTCATGGCCAGAATACAAAGACAGGTTGGGTAAACAGGAGCATCCCATGCTCAAATGTTATTTCGGAACAATGCAGTTTTCCAAGACGACAGTGCCCCCAATCACACAGCTGGAAATGTTCAGTCATGGTGTGAAGGGCATGAAGGCGAACTTCAACATCTTCCCTAGGCAGCACAATCACCAGATTTGAACATCACTGAACCACTCTGGTCAGTTTTGGAGACAAATGTGAGGAACAGATTCCCACTTCCAACATCTCCAAAGCAACTTGAAAATCTTCTTCAAGAATAATGGTATAAAATTCCACTAGAAAGAAATATATAGATCTGTAGTGTTTCCATTAGTTTGTCCAACCCCTGTATGTCACTTCCAAAATGAATAAAGCTAAGGGGAAGCCCCCCCCCCACATGTCATCCAGCTCTTCCATTGGATTCTGATACACTCAATACATGGTGTCTTGAAAGTCATTACAGGATTTCAGGAGGCTATATTTTAACCATTAAATATATTAAAGAAACAATTCACTGAAATGAAGATTCACTCCAAAATTCTGTCAGTAAATTCACATATGCACCCCATTTGTGGCATGACATACAGAGTGTCCCAGGAGGAATGTGCCAAACTTCGGGAGGGTGTTCCTTATGTTAAAGTATGCCGATATAACCCAAAACACCTATGTCCAAAGTTGAACGGTTACGGAGATAATGGCCCGAGAAAAGTGTGGTCTTCTAGCGGGTCCACGGATTATACCTATCAGCTGAGAGGAATTATCTCTGTTTGTCCTTGACTGCCGTGATTCATCCTATCCGTGCTTATGGAGTTGGCTTTATCAGAACGCGCAGTCAGCACGTTACGTCATCGCTTACCATTCATGTGTCATGTACAGTGCTTGGAACTCTTAACGACAACTTTGAGATGGCATGCGAGTTTTTTGTACTTCAATTTTATGGCTTCATGTCACTCACAAGTTAGTTTGATGTTACGTACATTATTAACGTTACAGAATCCACATATTCCTGCCAGTTTTAATATCTATTTTGTAATCAACAAGTGTGTAACCCCGGTCAAAGTTTGACACTTCTCTGGCCATTATCTCCGTAACCGTTCAAGTTTGGACATAGGTGTTTTGGGTTATATCGGCATACTTTAACATAAGGAACACCCTCCCGAAGTTTGGCACATTCCTCCTGGGACATCCTGTATATAGATGACTGATCTCGGCCCATGCATGCCTTGACATCTCCCAGAGCTGTTGATTCAACAGCTGCAGTTACCTGCTAGGTTTAACTATAGTGACCACCTGTACACCTACACATGGTACTTCTGACAAATTTCCCAAGAAAACGTGCTGCAACATCAAATTTACTGATCTTGGAAGACAATGAACCAAAACAGTTTGTATTCAATTGGACATTAAGGTTAGACATTCCACTTTTTGCTATGAGTTGTTCGTGGGGTTAAGAAGCCTGACATAATGACAGTACTATGAAATAGTGGCTGCAACAAATATGGAGAAGTCACTTCTTAACAAATAAAAAGTATGCTAAGCATATAAAGTACATCACTCCATGCAGAAGGGTTAAAACAATGTTCCTAGCCACTACACAAACAAAATACAATGTGGGCCACACAATCTTACAAAGTCAATACAAATATTAAATATTGTATCTATGCAAATTTCAATGTCATGCTAGTAACAATCAAAAAATTAATGCTTTAAAAATGTAAACATACCTCGCCAGATAGCCTGCTAATGAACAGGATCTGGTAACTGGGATTTCTAATAAATATACATACAAAGACATACATTATGCAGTCTTCACAAACAGATGAACCAGCAACAGTGGTCAGAATGGAAGCCAGTGAGATTTGTAACTCAAAACATTTTTCTTAATGACAGAGTGGTATATTCTATACACTGAAGTCCATAAAATTTCCTGATCTGCCACAAAGTTCCAGATTTTGCATTTTACTAGTTTTATCTCTTTCTGTGTGAAGATCACCTTCACAGAGGAGTTAGCAGCTATTGCAACCTGTATTGATGAAATTATTAGCATGCTTTCAACGTCACTCAATAAGTTGGACAACTGGACAAGTCTCTGGCCCAGTGCAGCCAATAAAATGATGATACTAGGTGGTACATATGGTGTAGGTTATTCACCACTTTCAGCAGTTAGACTGCACAGCATCAAATGGCTGGACTAATGAATGATAATTTGGAAAGGATTTGGACGGAATCAGTTACGGCCTGGTCAAGGTACTATCCCAGCATTTGTCTGAAGCTATGAAAACTATGACAGCCAATGTTCCCAGCAAGATATAAGTTAAGGGCATTACTGCTACGACCAACCCATTTGGTACAATATTATAAGAAACAGGTCTTGACGTGCTTCTTATAAAAACTGCCAGGAAATATGAGAAAAACCATGACAAAACCCAGCAAAGATATTAATGTTAGCCCATATACACCAATAAACCATGGTGCTCAGTCACATTTCTATACTGAAAATAACTACCTCAAGGTGCACTAACAAAAACACGAAATTCAGTAAGAAAGGGACAGAAAACAAGTATACAGCTAATTTTCTGTTTCTACGTATCACAGCAGTACCACACTGAGACAAAAACAATACTGTTTAAGCGGAAAGAAAACAAGAAAACAGACGAATACTTCATCCGCATAGTGGGAGAATTTTATATCTCATGCACGCTACTCACTCTAACCACAGACTCTACAAAAAGTGTCACACAGTGTACTAAACCTCTAGTCATCCCAAATCACATAATGATAATAAACAGCAGAATTCAATTATGGAGAATTATAAGCAATTTTGGCATTTCATAAGAACATGGAAGAAAAAAAAACAGTCCTCCTTTTTATCCACAAGAAAAACAGAAATTTTATTTTGAAGTGACAAGAGTAATATCACCATAATAGCAACCTGAAACAGAGTTGTGCCACTGCTGTTCCATTCCAAACTTATGGAAACTCATCATTATCATCGTGATTTAAGAGTATGACAAGTATATAATGTTAAATCAGGCACTTCTCAAATTTCGAATAACTGGGGTTTACTCAGCCTCTAACAGAAATGAGTACCAGGAATTAATTAAATAATTTTCCTGGGGAGTAAAGCGCGGCCAGCGCGTAAGGCTGACAACCTTACTGCCATCTTTGAACCGATTGTCATGGTAATGTAGGAGCCTCGACGTCTCACAACCCTATGGGCCTTCACGGCCTGTTACAGGGATAGCTTTACTTACTTTTAATGTTTACTTTTTTATATAACATCGACAAATCACACTGCCCCACAATTCCTGGTCTTAGTTCCAACCATCACATGACTAAGCAAAAGAGTTTCTATGCCCATTGCCTACCAATTTCCTGCACAAGAAGTTAAACCAAAACACAGCTACAGCAATGTATGTGAGATTAAGTCCAGTAGGCATGCTGTTTCCCGTATCCTTCATCATTCCAAGAAAATGACTGCCGTAGTGAAACAAGCCATCAGCAAGTCAGCCTACTACTTCTGAAACAGTACATCTGCATGTCATATAGTTGGTATCTCATAATACAGTGTGGCTGCATTTTATGCGAATTTGAAATAGTGCAATATAAAGAAATTTTAGTGAAGTCTCACTTTATGCACCAAGCTTGAAATTATGTTAATCCCAAAAATTTTGCCAAGAATCACATATGTTTCAAAACTTGTCTTGAATTGTGCGAGGTCTTCAGGAATGCATCCTCACATAAAAATGTGACTGCACTCTGCTGTACAGAACACATCTCATGCCTGTCTTCCTTAATCAATATTCTCATTAATTGTTCTTGCTGCAATCAGCCTAATAAATACGTAACTGAGGCAGCATCAGACAGCTACAAGGTCAGAACACAGACAACACAGCACGTAAAATCCCTAGTCTATGAACCAGAGTACACTATACATCGTGTAGGCAACCTTATAGAAGGAAAGTCCTGTATAAGTATGTGTGAATTTCCCAGTGACATATGTATAAAAAAGTAAAGCTATCCCTGTAACACGCCCTGAAGGCCCAT